TACAAATAGAAAACAAAGAAGTCCAAGTCTCTTTACTGGAAGATGATATGATAGTATACATAAACAACCCTAAAAACCCCACCTAGAAACTTCTTCAGCTAATAAACACTATTAGTAAAGTGGCTAGATATAAATTTAACAAGCAAAACTCAGAAGCCTTCCTATATACAAATGACAGACTGAAAAAGAAAATCAGGGAACACCACCTGTCACAATAGCTTCTCTCTCTCTCTCTCTCTCTCTCTCTCTCTCTCTCTCTCTCTCTCTCTCTCTCTCTCTCTCTCTCTCTCTCTCTTCCCTCTCCCCTTTCTCCCTCCCTCCCGACAACTCCAACCAAACAAAAGACTTGTACGATAAAAATTTTAGGGGTTGGAGAGATGGCTCAAAGGACGGGAGTACTGGTTGTCCTTCCAGAGGTCCTGAGTTCAATTCTCAAAAAAACCACATGAGGCTCACAATCATCTGTAATTAGATCTGATGCCCTCTTCTGGCTTGTAGGCATACATGCAGACAGAATACTGTATACATAAAAAACAAAACAAAAAATTTCAAGAAACAAAGAAAATTGAAGATGACATTAGGAGTTGTAAAATTTCCTGTGCTCATGGACTGGTAGGATTAATATAGTGAAAATGGTCATTGTGGTGATATATTATTTATGGTTTATTAAAACTGCGAGCAGAAGATCAGAAAGGCAAATCAGCCGGGCACTAGCTCTCATTCTATTCCAGACTGAATGTCGATCCTGGCTCCACCAAACTTCAGACTGTAACTTCTCCTCATCGTGGCTGGAGAATCCTGAGACTTCAATGTCTTCCTATCCTCAATGTGGCTGGAGAATGAATCCCTGATATTGACTACTGAAGACACTGCTCCTATCTTTTGTACCCCTCTAGTGCTGGGATTAAAGGTGTGTGATTCCAGGTGATGAGATCATCTTTGTGTGAGCTGTTTCTCTTTAGGACTGGGTCAATCTTGTATAGATCTGGGTGGCCTTGAACTCAGAGATCCATCTACCTCTTAATCCTGAGTTTTAGGATTAAAGGTGTGTACCACCACCTCCTAGCTTCTGGCTGCTGGGATTAAAGGTGTGTGCCTAGTTTCTGTGGCTTTTAGGTGACTTTGCTTTCTGAACCCTCTGGCAAGCTTTAATAAATCATAAATAATATATCACCACAGGCCATCCTACCAAAAGTAATCTATAGACTCAATGCAATCCCCATTAAAATTCCAATATGATTCTTCACAAAACTTTTCAAACACAAATTTCAGCTTCACATGGAAGTAATCTAAAAAAGCAAAAACAATCCTGAATTATGAAAGATGAAGGTATCACCATCCTAGGTTTTAAGTTGGACAACAGAGCTATAGTAATAAAAACAGCATGGTATTGGCTTAAAAACAGACACATCAATCAATGGAATCAAAACAAAGGCCCAGACATAAATCTATATACCTATGAACACCCGATTTTTGATAAAGAAGCCAGAAATACAAACTGGAAAAAAAAAGACAACATTTTCAACAAATGGTGTTGATCAAACTTGATGGTTGCATGTAAAAGAATATAGATTCATATTTATCATCCTGCACAAAACTCAACTCCAAATGGATCAAGGACCTCAACAAAAGATATCCTGAATCTGATAGAGGAGAACATGGGGAATAGTCTTGAACTCATTGGCACAGAAAAAGACTTTCTGAATGAGATATCATTATCCCAGGCTCTAGGACCAATAATTAATAAATGTGACCTCATGAAACTGAAAAGCTTCTCTATGGCAAAAGAGATACCGTCATTTGGACAAAGTGGCACACCACAGAATGGGACAAGATTGTTACCTATAATACCTCTGATAGAGGGTTAATATCTAAAATACATACAGAACTAAAAAACCAAAAAACTGGGCATCAAGAAAATAAATGACCCAACTAAAAAAAGAGATATAAAACTAAGTAGAGACCTCTCAAAAGATGAAACATAAATGGCTGAGAAACACTTAACAGAATGTTCAACATCCTTAGTTAGCAGGAAAATGCAAATCATAACTACTTTGAGATTTCAGACTGGTCAGAATATCCAAGGTCAATAAAGCTCATGATGAGGAGGATGTGGAGAAAGGGGAGCACTTATTCATCACTGGTGGGAGCACAAACTCATACAAACACTATGGAAATCAGTGGCGTGGTTCCTCAGGAAGTTTGGAATCAATCTACCTCAATATCCACCTATACCACTCTTGGGTATATACCCAAAGGACTCTATAACCTATTACAGAGACACTTACTCAACCTTGTTCACTGCTGCTCTAATTGTAACAGTCAGAAATTGTAAACAGTCTAGAAGTTCATCAAGTGATGAACAGATAATGAAAAGTGACATATTTATATAATGGAATATTATTTACCTGTTAAAATGAAATCATGAATTTCACAGGTAAATGGATGGAGTTAGGAAAAAAATCACCCTGAGTGAGGCAATACAAATATATTTTATGTTTTATCTTATGCATGGATGCTGCTGCTTTTTTAAATGATTTATTAATTTTAATTTTATATACATTGGTGTTTTGCTTGCATGAGAGAATTATAGACAGTGTGAGCTGCCATGTAGTCTCTGACATCGGAACCTGGTCCTCTGGAAGAACAGTCAGTGCTCTTAATCACTGAGTCATCTCTTCAGTCCCATGGGTGTTGGGTTTTAAGCCTTTCATATAGATATGCTATGATCTATATAGACATAGATGTTGGGTACCTAGTAAGGGACTAGAAGATGGGAAGAGAGGATCTCCCAAGGAAAGGTAAATAGAATACATTGTTATGAAGACATGGTGGGCATCCTTGGTGTGTGTGGGTATCCAATGGGGGAGAAGAATGGAAAAGACAGATAAAGGAGGGGATATGGGGAAGGAAAACTAATACTGTGGGCCGTTTGAAAACCTACTGCTGTAGAAACTTCCTAAAATATATACATATATGAAAGAAATCTAAATGGAGTCAACAAACAAGGGGTGGACAATGCCCTACCTAGACATCTTTCACCAAGTAAAACCTCCAATGGCAGGAGTACGTTACATCTAGTTGAGTCATTAGCCAAAGGGGCACTAAGGAAACCCCAAATACCTCAGGCCAAGGTCACTGGTTGGTCTTCACAACTGAGGGTAAGACCCTATTGCTGAGGACAACACTGGCATAATTTCTTCAGACATGGAGAAGTCAAGCTGGTGCATAATTAGAGGTTTTACTGATACAGGCTAGTGCTCATGGTACTGGAAAGTACTATGCACACATCAGAGCAGAATAGTAACCATCAGACTAGCCTCAAACTCTCTTGCTTGCAAGATATACTGGTTCAATAGTATAGTACAGATGTTGCGGGAATAACCAACTACTCTGACTGGATTTAAGACCCACTCCAGGAGCTAGAACCCATACCTGATACTGCTTGGGTGGCCAGGAACTTGAGACTGGATAGGCTATGTGCCTAGGGGAAGACCAAATATTATAGTTCTGCTAAAGAAACATAGCAATGATTGCTCATGACATTCTGTTATACCTATAGATCGGTGCTGTGCTCAGTTGTCCGTAGTCAGAGAAGCTTCTTGCAATAGATAGGAACTAACTGGAAAATAGGCAGACAGCCAGAGATTTTGGCGCACTCAGTCTTAAATGGTATATCTTCACCAAACTCTTCCCCTCAGGGCTTAGGGAACTATGCAGAAGAGGAGGTAGAAAGATTTTGAGAGCCAGAGGGGACAGATGGCTCCAAGGAAATGGTGGGATGACCCTAGAAACAACAGGACTAATGTCATATGAATTCACAGAGACTTTGGTAACATCCACAGGACCAGCACAGGTCTAAGCCAGATAGGCTTTCATTGCTGAGAGGTAGAAGTGGATACAGGACACAGACTCCCACCTCTAACCAAGAAGCTATCTGCAGCTGACTCCTGCTTGCAAATGAAAAGTTAGTTTTCTCCAACAGAGTCTCACTGGATATATAAACCATACTTCAGGGTAGGTCTTAGCAGTAGATGGCCAACATAAAATGAACATTAGTAGTATCTACTTTTTGTCTCAAATTGCTTTGTTTGGGCATTTTTTTTATCTTACTAGTTTTTTGCTTATATTTTGTTTTCTGACTCTGTGTGTTTTGTGTGTGTGTGTGTGTGTGTGTGTGTGTGTGTATGTGTGTGTGTGTGTGTGTGTGCATGTGCACATGCTCAAGAAAGAGACAAGAGAGAGATTTTTGATGAAAAATGCCAAATATCCAACAACAAAGCCAAAACAAAACAACACAAATAGAAAATCCAAGATGAGAAGGCATTGCATGACGTATTTAAAAGTGTTACTAGAAAAGGAAGAAATGTCAACTCAGCCTACATCCAAGGGAACGAGGGGGAAATGAAGACATTCTCAAACAAAAGCTGAGCGGGTCTGTCACAAGTAACTATGTCCAACAGAAAGGCTAAGGAGAGTTGGTCCACTGCTCCTTAACTTGAAACTGATAAAGAAAACAGAGACAACAGACAAAGAGGACCAGCTCATTGAACATTGTGATGAACAAAAACACAAAGTGGCAAGAACAATGGATAAATGCCCAACACCACAAGCAAATGGTGACACACTCATTGAGGAGAAGAGCAGCCCAAGAGAAGGAGGGCGGCAAGACACTTGCTCAGCTCATGTGAGGATCTTGGCACTCAGTTTACTGTGAGAAGATGACATTCAAGAGTCATAGCACACACCAGATAAAAAGGTGATTTTGCTCTATAGTTTGAATCAGGTAGAGAGAAATAAGAACATAGAATGACAAAGAATATCTTCAAACAATCTAAAACTAGAATCTAAAACTAGACATTACCTGGCTCTCTGATGAAGTGCAAAGAGTGAATTCAAGCTGTCTTCAAGTACTAAAATGAAACCACTGGCATATAAAAAAGAGGTAGCAGAAAAAATGATAAGAAAATCAACTTAATTCACTTTACCCAGGATTGTACCTGTTTGTGGCAGCTTCCTGAACACTGGCATTTTTATGAGTTAAACTATCTTCTCTTGCAGCCTAGGAAAATAAAATAATAAAAAACAAATCTTTGAAAGGATACTCAAGTAAGAAATTTATCTTTCTGTTAAAAACAGAAAAATCAACTTGTTCCTGTTCAAATAAGAGGTAATTATATCTCCCTGACCCCTAAAGATTTACTTAGTTTTATTTTATGTGTATTAGTATTCTGCCTGCATATATGTACAAATATCATGTATGTGCCTGATGTCCACACAGGCCAGAAAAGGGTGTTGGGTCTCTTTAAAGTATAGTTATGCTGGGCAATGGTGGCACACACCTTTAATCCAAGCATTTAGGAAGTAAGGCACCACCATTGCCAGGCTGAGTGATTCAAGAAATTTCCTATCCCAATTGAGAGGAGTACTGGTCTGGAATCTTTTTCTTGTAATACATTTCTCTAGATTTGATAGAGGGATAACACTCGTAGCATAAATTAGGAAATGCTCCTTCCTTTCCTATTTTCTGAAAGTTTGTATAGAATTGTTATTGCTTCTTTTTAAAATATTGTGTAGATCCAGGCATGGAGGTGCACACCTTTAATCGTAGCTTTTGGGAGGCAGGTAGAACTCTGAGTTCAAGGCTAGTCTGGTCTACACAATGAGTTCCAGGACACCCAGAGCTATAACAATAGAGAGATCTTGACTCAAAATATATAAATGAATAGATAAATAAATAGAATATTGGGTAGATTTTTTTTAACCATGGAGTCATCTGCTGCTTGAATTTTCTTTATAAGGAGGTCTGTCATTATAAAATAAAATCTTTGTAATTTAGAGGCATTAAAATTATTTTTCATTTTATTCAATTAAAAACTCAACAACTGAAATATAAGGTCATGTTGTCTTGGTCCATTTAGACTGCTGTAAGATGCCATGAACCAGAGAATGTGCAAATAACAAGCATTCATGACACACTGGTAGAAGCTGGAAAGTACCAGGTCAAGACACCAGCTTCACAGAGAACAAGCCAGTTCCTTGGCCCTTTTCTAAGAGCACTAAAAAATTCAGATTTTATGTTTCTTTTCCCTTTGCATTTATTACTTTATCTTATTCTTTCAATGCATTTTAAGGAAGACATTACCATTATCTTATTTAAAATAGAAAAGAAAGCTTGAGAAATAAACTAATTTGCCTCAAAACACAGAATTTGAAAGGGATAAAATAGAAATGAGTTTCTAAAGCCTACGTTTTCATATCTTACATTTATCATCTATGATAATAGTATGTTGTGTGTTTGTTTGGTGTTTGTCCTAGTAAGGGTTACTACTGCTGTGATAAAATACTATGACCAGAGCAACCTGGGGAGGGAAGGGTTCATTTGGCTTATGTTTCCCCATCACTATTAAATTCATCATTGGCGGAAGTCAGGACAGGAACTCGAGTAGGGCAGGAACCTGGAGGCAGGAGCTGATCCAGAGGCCATTGGCAGCTGCTGTTTACTGGCTTGTTCTTCATGCCTAGCTCAGCCTGCTTTATTATAGAACTCAGGACCACCAGCCCAGGGATGACACTACCCACAATGGGCTGGACCTTCCCCCACTAATCACTAAGAAAATTCCCAACAGGCTTGCCTACAACCCAATCTCTTAGAGGCATTTTCTCAATTTCTCCTTTCTGATTACTATAGCTTGTGTCAAGTTGACATAAAACTAGCCAGCACACATCAGGGCCATATCTATTAAAGGAAGCTTACCTTATGCACTGCTTCTACTTGGGCCTTCAGAATATTGCTCTTGAAGTCAGGAGGAACCCTTACTGCATTCAATCCTGGGCTCTCAATGGCATTATTAAGACATTTCTCGGTCAACTTTATCACTTCTTCCTGAACATTAAAAAATATAATCATTCTTGATAGGCCATGTTATGTGAAAATAGGAATGTTGAAAGTTCATATTCAAACGACCAGGAACTAATACACCTCAGACAGCCACGTGCTGTTCAAGACACTCACTCCTGTAGCTATCTATTGCAGAATGAAAGGGACTGACCCTTAGAGGGTCTCATCTGAAATCCACCGGGGATACACGTCAGCAAATGTCACATATCCTCCATGAATGTTTTAATTCAATCATTTCAGTAACGCAGCTGCTTAAAGACAGGAATTGGGTTCTGAGAAGTGTAAAGGCCCTTACCATTCATATTTTGTATTTCTAACTCTGGAGCTGTCATGAGGGAAAAATATGACTTCATGTAACAAATTACATGTAACAGTTAGTTAACAAATATGTAAACCTTCTCAAACACAGTGCTGAAACAAATAGATCCACTCAATAAACACTGTAATTAAAACTTAGCTATCAGAAATAAATGAAGATAGACTAATACATTTAAAAGAAATGCAAGCAATTTGTAGTACATTTAATATTCTGCTACACTTAAATAGTAATTAATGATAGGATAGCAGCTGGATCTAGGACTGCAGACCATACCTAACTTTCCAAGTTTGAACAAATTTGATGTACTTTCTACAATTTTGATGTTTCTCAATGTGGTCTACTTTAGCCTCTAGGAAGCACCCTAAATTCTGAACTTAAAGATCTTGTTTTCTGAGACTCTCCTTATGTAACTCACTCAGATGGGCCCTGAGCTAGTAACGCTCTGGTCCCAGTGTCCTGAAGACTGAGTTATAGGAGCACACTAGCAGGTCTGGCTCCAAATCTCAATTTTTAAAAGCTCTCCTATGTAATTCTGATATAAAACGTCTGAGAACCACTTCTTAAGATTTGATCTTGCCTGTACCCCCTTGTTCCTGTTAGCAGAAGGAAGTCTTTGTGTGTGTGTGTGTGTGTGTGTGTGTGTGTGTGAGTTACTGAGGACTGAACCAAGGACTGTGTGTATTCCTCTTTCTGGTTTTAATTTAGAACAGGATCTCATTAAGCTGTCCAGGTTGGTGCTGAAGTCACTCTGTACCGTTGGCAGGTCTTGAACTTAACGATTCTTCTGCTTTAGTTTCCAGGTATCTGGGATTATGGCTCTGAGCCACCAGGCTCAGCACACAGCAATTCTCTACATCCTTTAACAATCATGGTTCAGTCAAATGTACTGATACTCCCCCCCTTTCCTTAAGACTACTATGTTGCAGAGTTGTGTACTTCTTAATCATTTGCACATTACAACGATCCACATTTCAAAGTCTCAGAAACACAAGATATTAAAATTAAAAAATATACAAACCACTCCACCTATGACCTTCAGTCAGCCCAGTAATGCCTTTTCACCGTGTACTTATTTAGTTTTCAAATTATGTGTATGAATGTGACTGTATGTGCATGTAAATGTAGTGACCATAGTGGTCAGAAGAGGGCATCGGACACCCTGGGACTGTGGTGACAGATGATTGTGGCTGCTATATGGGTGAGCCTTCCCGTGGGTGCTGGGAATCAAACCCAGGTCTATGCAAGAGCTGCCAGTGCTCTTAACCACTGTCTCTCTCCAGTCCTTCAGTGTGTCTCTGAAAAAACCACTATGAGCTGGGCAGTCCCAGCACTTAGGAGGCAGAGCAGGCAGATTTCTGAGTTTCAGGCCAGACAGGTCTGCAGAATGAGTTACATGACAGCCAGAGCTGTACAGAGAAATCCTGTCTCAAAAACAAACACACAACAACAAAAACACCAGCAAATATCCATCACGAGAGACCTTAAATTTTATTTAGTTTTCTGACTAAATAAAGTTATTTAGTCAGGGTTACTTACTAGGTAACCCTGGCTGGCCATGTATGGTGAGTTTCAGGCCTTGAACTCACTGAGATATGCCTGCTTCTGACCTTAAAATTATTTTTTCAGTGTTTATTTTTTTGTGTTTTTCCTGAATGTGTGTCTAGTGTCTGAAACTGGAGTTACAGATGGTTGCAAGCTGTCACATGGGCACATGGAATCAAACCTGGGTCCTTTGCAAGAGCAACAAATGCTCTTAGCCACAGAGCCCCTTCTCCAACACCGACCACTGATCCCAGCCCTCTTCAGCCTCATTAAAATTCTTAATGTTGCCATGCAAGTATCCTCCATCCTACCCACATATCGACATACTTTACTTTTTAAAATGGGAACACAGGTCTATTAGAGCTCAACAGTCAGACTTCCCACCAAAAATGAGACAGTACTGCCTTGCTAGTTAGCTTTCTGCCAACCTGACACAAGCTAGGGCTTTCTGAGAAGAGGAGCTCTCATCTGACTAAATCCCTCATTTGTGGGCAGTTGATTAATGATGTGGTAGAGCCCGGCCCACTATGAGTGGGGCTGCCCTGGGTAGCGGTCACTGGCTGTAGAAGAAAGTACACCAAGCAAGCCATGGAGAGTAAGCCAGTAAGCAGCATCCCTCTAAAGGTTTTGCTTTACTTCCTGCCCTTACTTCACTTCATGAAGAACAGTAAGCTGTAGGAGGAAATAAATCCAGCCCTCTCCAAGCTGCTTTGGGTCACAGCCTTTCTCACAGTAATAGAAAGCAAATCAAGACAAGTGTCTTGGAAAGTAAGTCTTTCTGGGAACTATTATGTTACATAACAAGTAGATACAGAAGGGATTCCAATACCTGACTGGTGACATTAATGTCAACAACGGGAGGTCGAAGAGACAGCAAGATGTTCTGCTCCATTTCCAGTTGTTTGAGCTTTTCTGTGTCATCTTTTAATGCTAGAAAAAGAAAATAGCAAAACTTCTTACTAGTTTGCCTGGCTCTGACAGTTACACGAGGGTGTACACTGAAGTTGTTTTTCCTTCATTAAAAGAAGAATAAGCTGGATGGTGGTGGTGCACACCTTTAATCCCAGCATTTGGGAGGCAGAGGCAAGTGAATCTCTTGAGTTCAAGGCCAGCCTAGTCTACAATGGGAATTCCAGGACAGCCAGGACTACACAGAGAAACCCTGTCTTCAAAAAAAAAAAATAGAGGAAGGGGGTGTTATGAAGTTATGTCTTTTGGGTCAAAGGGATCTTCGGAAAATGCCTGTCAATAAACGCAGTAGCTTCTGTGTCTGGGTGTACATTAGGACCATTACCTAGGGCTTTCAAGAAATTTTGAATTCCCAGACTTGTTTTAATCTTTTAAAAATCTCTGGTTCTGGTGTGTGTAGGTCAGAGGACAACTCTCAGAGGTTGCTTGCATCCTTTGAATTCTTTCTTGCCACCATGGGTTCTGCAGATGGAATTCAGGCCACCAGGCTTACTTAGCAAGCACTTTTACCCACTGAACCATCTCACTGGTCAAGAATAATTTTACCATACTTTTAGGACAGTGGTTCTCAAAAGTCCTAATGCTGCTGGCCAACCCTTTTTATACAGTTTCTCATGTTGTGAATGAACCCCCTCAACTATAAAATTATTTTTGGTGTTATTTCTTAAGTGTAATTTTGCTACTGTTATGAATTATAATATAAATACCTGATATGTAGGATATCTAATATGCAGTCCCTGTGAAAGGGTCATTTACTCTAGAATACACTTTGATAATGGACATTTCTTAAACTCTCCATGGGTCTTAATGCACAGAGCTAAAACTCACTAACTCAATACTGGTCTTTATTAAATTCCTGTCTCTGGCTTTGTTATGTTATTGATTGAACTTAGCATGATGCTGATAACACATATGTTTTAGCCTGCACTGATAAACTAGTATTTTCTTGTTTTTGAACTAAAGCTGCTTGGCTGACAAACAAAAACAAAAACAAGCAAATATCTAGCTACTATTTGGACCTACTCTTCCCATAAGAAAACGTTTTTTTAACTGAGATGAGTAGCCTATTAAGGGCCAGCATTCCATCTTGTGAAACTCTGGGTTCATTCCTATTTAGATAATTCCTAGAGACCAGACCCAAGACTTTACTCTATCACACCCCTTCCCTTTGCACTGATTAGGAATTAGCCCATCATGTTAGACTGTAGGGCAGAGCTCCCACCATAGGGTGACAGTAAACTCGCTAACTTGGTGTGCTTGCTTGCTTGATATGGGGACTAAGCATCCTGACTACAGGAATATTATTTTACAATTTGGGGACTTATCCTGGATTTCAAATTGAAATCAGACATCCCTTTGGGAGACCATGTCCTACATCCCTGTTGTGGTGGTCCCCAGGTTTCCAGTGAAGAATGGTTCTTAGATCAGTAATCATTCCAGTATGTAAAATTTCTCAGCGATGTGAGGAAGGGCCCAGGAGAGCTCTGCAGTGACCAGGCAACTCCATGCACCAAACAAGGAAGAAATATTATAAGGAGTGGCAAAATATTTGCTTGGTATTAGGGGCATCCTGGATATATAGTGCTTGAGTGAAAGAGATGTGCTCTGAGCATGAGGTGAATGTGGAGCCTCGGTTCACAGTTCCACAGGTGCTCAGGTGACCTCATCTAGCTAATCAGCAGTCTTAGAGCTAGTCGTGATTTATATCAACCTGACATGAGGTGGCAAAGAGTACAAGAAGCCTCTACTCCAGGAAGTAGGATTCAGTCTCTAAGGGACTCTCGTATTTGGAAGTCAGGATAGGAAATAGCAAAAATAAAAAGAGTTCTAGGAGAAAATGAACGTAAGAATACAATTCTCTCTGATAGTTCACTGGGGATTTGTGTTTAACAACTGGAAGGGTAATGAGAAAACTAAAAACAAAAATAAAACACAGACATAAAGAACTGTTGCTTCATGAGGACCCAGGGCTGATCTGTAAGCCTTTGGTCTTATGGACTGAATTCAAGAGTCCCATGAGAACTGAGTCCACCAACTCCTAACTGAATTTGCTGGCAACAAGAATTTCATCGCTCAGGAAGAGATTGATGAGGTGGTTTCAGTAAGAATGGCTTCCATAGGCTCCTATGTTTGAATGCTTGGTCACCAGGGAGGGACACTACTTGAGAAGGATTAGGAACTGTTTCCTTGTTGGAGGAAGTGTATCAATGGGGGTGAGCTTTAAGGTTTCAAAAGTCGAAGCCAGGTCTAGTGGCTCTCTGCTGGCTGCAGATTGGGATGTAGAACTTTCAGTACCTCCCCAGTGCCATGTCTGCTGTGTGTCACCATGCTCCCAACCATGATGACAGAGGACTACACCTCTGAAACTCTAAGCCAGCCCCAATCAAATGCCTTCCTTTATAAGAGTTGGTGTGGTCACAGTGTCTTCACAGAAATGCAATGACGAAGACAACTGAAATATTCTCTGTTGGAGAAAGGGACTCAATCCTTATCTGATGAAAATGGAGATTAAGAGAAGTCCAATAACAAGAAGGAAATCTTCAAAATCTTCCTTCCCCTTTCCCCTAAGAGAAAACTTCAGATCTTACGCCTTCAGGCTTTTGTAGCTGACTGATAGCCATGTGGTGGAAACAAAATGTTAAGTTTAATTCCTTAACTTCAATTTCAGTACATATGATTTTCCTTTCCACCATGGTTCCCTCAGAGAACCTAGGAAACTTTGGACCAGGCTTGGGGGAAGGGAGGGCAGATAACTACTGGGAGTGGTTCAGTCTGTCACTGCTTTAGACCATGTGGTCCCTAGGCAGTCGCTTTACTAACTAAAAGCACCTCACAAGGCTGCTATGCTTTTCAATCAGGATGAAATATTTTTCACAAGTTGGTTCTGAGGGTCTTAATTTATGTCAACATGGATCAGAATCACAGATGTGTTGTGCCCAAATTCTGAACCCCAAAATCACCAAGAGGCCCATTTCGATGCAAAAACAGTCTTTTATTAAAGTTATTTAAGGAGCTAAACCATTTAGCTTGGGTCATTCACCCCGCCACCATGGAGGATGGCTGGAAAGACACCACCCACCCCAGCAACCCCGAGGCAGGGATCTTAAAGGGCAGCATAAGGGGAGTATCTAGGGGTATGAAACAGTCTCAGGATTGGTGTGCTTCCAGGTTTGGGTGACCTTCCCTGTGTTGATGGGTCAACTGGTTGTTATGGCCCATAGGCCCTCCCAGGGCAGTTGCTATGCTCTGCACATCACTATTGTGCACTGTCCATAAAGGACAGCCCTGACAGCTAACTTTTGATTGGCTCCTTGGCACAAGGAGGGCATCTGATCTCCTAGTGACCAGGACAGGAGCCGCAAGGTCACACAAGCACATGGTAGCCTGTCATGGCTGCTAAAATGGGGAGGCTGGTCACTACAGATGTCTGACCTCAGCCATCACCATGCTCAGGTGGGACAAAATGGTGCCAAGGTAACTTTTTCCTTCCCAGTGACCCCAAGTACCCTCAGAGCACCATTTGACTTTACTACCATCTTGGTTAATGCAACCATATAGAATAAACCAAAATGGTAGCACCTATAAATCTTCCTAGTGCCACTGGACATTGCCCTGATTCTACAACGGCAGTTAGTGTTATTCCTTCAGGGTATATGAATGAGAGAAATGATAAGAACAGGAAGTGCAAACTGGCTTGACAGTTTAGGGTGGAATATGCCCCTTTCCTTTGAGGTAACTAGTTTCTTGGCTGAAAGCCAGAATGTCTAGAGATTAGTGATGCCAGATGTGTTTGGCATCTAATCTGGTTTCTAAATAATGCAGGGTTACCTCTTAGAAAAGGTAAAGGCTCATTAAAAGAAAACTTTTAGTTGAAAGAGTATAATCTCTGACCTAACATTCAAGTTGGTCCAGGCCAATCATGGCCAAGGACCACTCCTAGGAAAGTGGCACACCTAAGTCATGCTAACAAATCCCTTGTATGTTAGGGACCTTGTCCAGAAGTTCATCAGACCACTCTCACATTTCCCAGTCACTTTTAACAATAATTTGTTACTAGAGACTTCAGAAGGGCTGTGTATGCTGGCTGACGTGGGAAAAACAATGCACAGTGTGTGTGTATGTGTGTGTGTGTGTGTATGTGTGTGTGTGTGTGTATGTATGTATGTATGTATGTATGTATGTATGTGTGCGTGTGTTGTGTGTGAAAGTCTTTTCTTTCAAAGATGGGCAACCACCCAAAATCAGTATTTTACAAACCTTCTTCACCTTGTGAAACTCTTGCATACATGCCTGTTTACCAGACCCCTGGATGCCAAACATTCCTGAGACTTGACTCTATTCCACCTCTTCCTTTAGCAGCATTTAGGAATTAACTAATTATGTCAGTCTGGAAGGATGAGCTTCCAGCAATGGGGTGACAGAGTCACCACACTGTGATAGGATCAAAATTAAGTGCCCTTCCCACCCTGTTGTGCTTTCCCAGCTTGGTTGGCTTGGTTGAGCACCCTTTGCAAAAGAGTTGCTGAGCTACTTTGGCCTTGTTCATGTATCTCTCTGTATGATTCTAGGAGCATTCTTCTCCAAAGTACTTCACACAATTCTTCTTTTTCATACTGTAACCAATATAAATTACAGAGTACATTGGACAGAAAATATGAAGTTAGGCATAAGAACTTATGCTTGCATTCCCAAGACCTTGGAGGCTGGGGCAAGTGGATCACTGCAAGTAATCCCAACACTAGCCTAAACTACATAGCATAGTTGGGTGAGCCTAGATTATATACTAAGATTTTGTGTCAAAAAAAGAAAAAGAAAAAAAAAAGATCAAACAGACTTTCACTCTCTAAACAATTTTGTATGTGTGTATGGTATATGTGCATGTATGTGTGTATGAGAGGATGTGGGTAGTACAGAGACCAGAAGTCAATGTTAGCTGTCTTCCTCTAACACTTTTTTTTTTGAGACAGGGTTTCTCTATGAACCTGAAGGTCATTACTTTAGCTGGATTGGCTTGCCAATGAGCTGGGGGGGAATCCTCTTGTCTCTGCCCTCCTTGCTGTCCTGTTGGGGTCATAGACATGTGCTGCCATGCCTGGATTCATGTGGATGCTGGAGATCTGAACTTCAGATTCTTATGATTTTGTGGCATTCACTTTAGCAGTGGAGCCATCTCCCCAACTTCTGCTCTTAATGTAAGAGTGCTCTAACTAGTCTCATTGATTGACTTTAAGGAGATGGTATTAATACGAAGTAAGTTACATGAATGAGATCCCTATATGTGGGAAGAATTACTTCTGACACCACTTCAATAGCATTCAAGGCTTTCTTGAGTACTTTGTATAATGAGAAACACACTAACTCTTAGGTATCTATATCTAGAGTATGGCAGAAGGAACTTAAAAATATTTTCCTTATACTGATACAAAATTTGCTTTGCTCCACTTGTAAATTGCTTCTCTAAAACTCATCAGAAAAGCACTGTAAATACTTCATATATAAATACTTCAAAGTATATAGAGAATTATCATATCTTCGTATTTTAAATTTTATTTTTATTATTGTATGTGCATGACATGTTTGTAGGAAGGAGTTTGTGAGTGCCACCCTGGGTAGAGGTCAGGGGACAACTGTTGAATTCATTCTCTTCTTCTACCTTTATGTGAGTTCTTGGGGTCAAACTCATATCATCAGATTTGTGCAACAAATACTGCCCTGGCTGAGCCATCTTACTAGACCCTTATAGAATTATTTATAGGGATCCCTACTGTTGGCATTCTGGCATAAAGCTACAATACCTACTCCAATGCCATGTCATTCTAACACAATCTTCGAACAATTACATACTTAATAATTGCTTGGTAATACAGGATTATTATGGCACTGAAGGAACAATTAAACTTTTAAAATTTATATAAAATAAAAGAGAATGAAAATAAAATCAACATTTCCATCTCCATAAAGAAGATGTAGGACACAGTCCTTTATGTCAATTAGTCACAGTATTCATGAGATGCAGGTGGGCCACTGGACCCTAACTGAGTGTCCAGCCACTCCTCCTAACTCCATGTGGGCCGGGGAGAAAGTATCTGGGAGGGGGGCTAGGGTATACAGGCTGGGGAGGATGAACTAACATGGATCCATTTACATGGCTATTCGGGAGCCCACAGCCATGCTGGATACAGACCTTCCGGTGTAGCTGTTCTAGATCCACCAACACTCACCTTTAACTTCTCGCTCACTCTGTAAGTAAGCCCAATCAATTCAACATTGCCCAGGGTGAACTCTGGTGGAATTGTACTTTGGTTTGTCTTGGGGACTCTCAGAGGAGGGATCAGATTGTGTTCATATCTCCGCCCCTCCCCCATGCCCAGGAGGAGGAATTTTATTCTTATTCTAGAAGTACTTTGCTTAAAGGTAGTCCTGCCTCTGGCAGGATCTAGATCCTGATAGCTTTGGTTTGTTATCTTGTATCTTTTTTAAGTTAAGGAAGAGCAACCATTTCTAACAGAAGGTAGAGTTCAGGTCAAGGTTATTGAAATTGAACTATTAAAAGAAATTATAACATAGGAAACACTAATATCTGACAAACAGAAATGGAGAATTTTTTAAAGATTTATTTTTAACTATGTATATAGGAGTGTCTGTGTGTGGGTTAGGTGCATATGTGCACAGATGGCCTCTGGAGGCCAGAGTTGATGTAGACCCCTGGAGCTGGAGTTACAGGCTACTGTGAGCCATGCCATGTGGGTGCTGGGAACCAAGTTCAGATCTGCAAGGGCATCTGTGCACTTTGCCTCTGAGCCAACTCTCACCAGCTTCTTGAATGAAGAACGTCCAGTGACTTACTGCCTTTACAAAAACTAAATGATATTACTTCAAAATTAACAACATAATAATTTAGCTAACTCTTGTTGCAGTGTAAACATGGTGAAGTTTAAACAGTATTATGGCATGTTAAAAGGGCTGCTTGGCAGGGTGTTTGCAGTGCTTACCTAGGATTTCATCTCTACCACCAGTGGTACTTCAGCATGATCTAAGAACACTCACTCTGAATGACTAAATGCCACTGTCATGCTCTAAACACTTCAGGCAGCGGAACACCCATGCTTTCTGAGTTCCTTAAAGATGGCATCTAATTTTACCTACAACAGAACTAAAACTGGCAAGAACCATACATATAAACACAAGCTGCCTGAAAATGAACCCAATATATTACACTGAGCTGCAACTGGAAACTCCTGTTTAAAACGATTTCAGTTTTCCAATTAAACCAAGCTTGCAAATACCCAAGTATTTTCAACAAGCAATCTACTTCCTTTGTATCCCTGAAAAAAAGGTAAGAAAGGAGAATTCATTCTGCATTCTTTGTTTTTGGCAACTAGGCAGTAGTAGCAAAATATCTTCTAGGAGCTAAAAGACAAAACATCCACTCAACCTTGTACCCCAGGAAATCTTTAAGGAGACTTTCAGAGACATGAGTCTCATTACTCACAGCTAGGCTGGCCTGAAGCCTCATAATCCTTGTACCCTTGCTTTCATTATCTTCTTCATTTGTATTCAAAGAACAAGTAAAAACCCAGAATGAACAATTATAAATTTATAATCACTCATGTATTATGAACGTTATAATATAATGTTACATTATCTTGGCTTGAAGTATAGCTTATTGATAAAATGAGGTTACCTTATCTTAAATTTTCCCCAGTGTTCTCCTTAAATCAAAAGGCAAGAAGACGAAAGTATTCTATTCTCAACTAAGCTATTAGGATACAGCACTTTTGGAGGAACTGGTTTAAATGTCTTGCTTCAAAAGGAGATGTAAGTTGTTTCCAGGCTCTGGTTATTATGAATAAAGATGCTATGACCATAGCTGAGCAAGTGTCCTTGTGGTAGGATAGCGTATCCTTTGGTATAAGCCCAAGACTAGTATAGCTGGGTTTTAAGGGCAGATAGAATTCCATTTTCTGAGAAACCACCATATTGATTTCCAAAGTGGCTGTACAAGTTTGCACTCCCTTCAGCAACGGAGGTGTGTGTTCCCTTGCTCCATATCCTTGCCAGCATGAGCTGTCACTTGTGTTTTTGATCTTAGCTATCTGACAGGTGTAAGATGGAATCTCAGAGTTGTTTTGATTTGCATTTCCCTGATAGCTAAGGACGTTGAACACTTCTTTAAGTGTTTCTCAGTCATTGAGGTTCTTCTGTTGAGAATTCTATTAAGATCTGTACCCCATTTTAAAACTGGAATATTTAGTTTTTGTTGTCTAATTTCTTGAGTTCCTCATACATTTTGGAAAATATTCGTCTGTCAGATGTGGGGTTGGTGAAGATCTTTTCTCATTTTGTAGGCTGCTGTTTTGTCTATTGACAATGTCCTTTGCCTTACAGAAGGTTTTTAGTTTCATGAGGTCCCATTTATTAATTGTCATAATAACCAGAACCCCGAAACAACCTAGATGTCGGATTGAAGCATGGATAAGGAAAATGTGGTACATTTACACAATGGAGTATATTATCCAGCTATTAAAAACAATGATATCATAAAATCTGCAGGCAAAAGATGGAACTACAAAAACCATCCTGAGTGAGGTAACCCAGACCCAGAAAGGCAAACATGGTATGAACTCACTCATGAGTGAATATTAGCTATAAAGGATAACCATGCTACAATTCACAGAACTAGAGAGTCAAAATAACAAGCAGGACTCAAGGGAAGATGCTCAGATCTCCCTGGAAAAGGGAAACAGAAAAGATTTCGTGGGTGGACTGGGGGTGGGTGAGGAGGGGAACATGAGGGATCATGGGGGGGAATAACTGAAAAAGATGATGCAAAGGGGGAGCATTTCAGGGTAAGATAGAACCCTGGTTCAAGGGAATGTCCCAAGAATCTATATGGATGACTGTAGCGAAGACTCCTAGCAGTAAGAGTTGCTTGGGCGTCTCCAGTGACCAGACAAGCCGTCCAGTGGAGGGATTGGGACACCAGTTCAGTCACATAACCTTCAGCCTATAGTCTGTCCTGTCTGTGGGATCTGCTGGGCTAAGGGTGACACAGAGATTGTGGGAGTGGTCAACCAACTGGCCCAGCCTGAGACCCATACCATGAGAATGAGCCCACTTTTGACACTGCCTGCAGTGCCAGGGCCCAGAGGCTGGATGGTTCAGTGATGTAACCCATAGGAGCTCACAGAGACTGAACCATCAATCAGAAAGCCTGTATGTGACTGACCTAGGCCCTCTGCATAGACCTGACAATTGTGTAGCAGCTTAGTCTTCTGGTGCAACTTCTAACAGTGGGAGGTGGGGCTATCTCTTTTACAGGCTTTTGGGACTCTACTCCTCATACTGGGTTGCCTGGCCCAGCCTTAATACAAGGGAAGTGCTTAATCTTACTGCAACTTGATATGCCATGTTTTGTTAATAACCATGGGAGGCTTTCCCTTTCTGAATAGAAACTAAGGACTAGTGGACTGGGAGCAGAGCAGCAGGGAGATAAGGGAGGAACTGGGAGGAGAGGAGGGAGGGGAAACTGCCATCAGGATAAAAAATAAATTAGGAGGGGGGTAATCAAAAGGTGTTGGAATAGAGACAACTCATTGGGTAAAGGTGCTTGATTGGAAACCTGAGGATGTGGACCTAAGTTTGATCTCTTCAACTCACATAGTAGAAGGAGGGAAGTGACCCTCAAAGTTGTCTCAAATCTCCACATGCACAACATGCTATATCCCACCAAATAAATACATGGAATAAAAATGTTGCCGGGCAGTGGTGGCGCACGCCTTTAATCCCAGCACTCGGGAGGCAGAGGTAGGCGGATCTCTGTGAGTTCGAGGCTGGGCTGGACCGACAGCCTCGAAAACAATACAGAGAAACCCTGTCTCGTAAAAACCAAAAAAAATAAAAAAAATAAAAAATAAAAATGTTTTAGATGTCATTGATAAATTACAGAACAAGTACTTACTCTCACATTCAACTTTGGGCTCTTCTAATTCATTTGACCTGGTAACTACATTAATGTCATCTGGTGCTGGAGAAGTTTCCCAAGTATCTGATGTACTTGTTACATCACCAATGGTTGTTGCTAGTAAGTCTGGGCTATTTAGCATATCGACATTCAGAGGCAAGCTGTAAAAGTAAGAGAAAATGTACTTAATTCAGTAAATTTATCATTAAAATACAAACAAAAAACAATGTTGGAAAAATTTAATTGACACGTTTTATTGAAATGGCTTTATTCACTTTTCAAAATCTTTGGATATACTTTTTCCAGGCAAGATGTAGCAAAAGGGAATGCATGGTAGAACGGGGGACTACCTTAGGCAACAGGATGAGACTGAGAGCCTGGTAACTGGAGATCTGTGAGCAAACACCCAGGTTACTAATGAGGATACCCTTGGTTGTGTCCTTTGCACATCAATCTAACGGAAGACAGACATCTGGAATGTGAGCAGCACCAGACTATGGACTGGGTCCGAGAATGAATAAAGAAAGGGGGAAGGAGGTTGGAGAGATGGTTTAGCAGGTAAAGCATTTAAGGGCATGAGTTTGGAGCCCCAGAATCCAAGCAAGGATAGATGCAATAGGCAAAAATCTGTATCCCAATGCACCTACAGGGGATGCAAAATAGAGACAGAAGCATCTCAAAGGATAGCTAGCCTAGTGTGCAATAATGGACCAGAGACTCTATCCAATAGGATGGGATGTGAGGATCAGCACCTGAAGCTATTCTTTGACCATACTCACATACAAATGTGCACACAGATTTAAAAAAATAATAAAAAGGGAAGCTGAGCACTGGCAGTCACCTTTATGTTTCTTAGTCAGCACCATGGACCAAGCTGCCCCTGCCATTGTGCTTTCCCAAGAAGATGAACTGCATTTCTTTTTTAGTTTTGTTTTCTTTTTAAATTTAAGTTAGAAACAATCTTATTTTACATATCAATCCCAGTTCTCTCTCCCTCCCATCCTTCCCCCCCAACTCCCCATCTCATCCCTCTTCTGCTCCCCAGGGAGGGTGAGGCCTTCCATGGGGGATCATCAAGGACTGTGTTTCTTTGAACTGGGAGTTCAAATAAACCTTTCCGCTTAATTTGCTTCTGTCACAAAAAGGGGAAAGCAGCTGATACAAGATCAAAAGCTGAGTGCCAGAGGAGCAGGCAGGGTCTCAGAGCTGAGCAGAGGCATGAACGCTAATAATGATGGCATTTGCTGGAAAATCACCCTTACGGCCTGGGAAAGAACTACTCAAAGGCATGAGAGGGAAGTCATGGTACTCACAGTTTCTCCTAAGACCGTAAAAAAACGTAATTCATAGAGCACTGAGTATTTCAGGAGCATACTGTCTTTGAGGCGGAGGGCACTAACACACAGAAGCACTATATGTGACAGGCCCACCTAAAAAGTCATAGAAATGAGATCTGAAAGGCTCAAACTACGTAAACCACATTTGAAAACAAATCTCAGAAGACTTCAAAGACAACCAAACTATGTAGTAAGCAACAAAGTAAGGCTGAGTCAGACTACTCAAAGGGGGCCAGCCATGCAGAGAAGCATCAGAAAGGAAACTCTCTGAGCATAAACAAACTAGACAGTTAAAAAAAAAACTGTCCAGTGCATACGCATCTTTGAGTATGTGCAGACATGTTTCAAACTGGGAGTAGTAGGCATAGGTGTGTCTCATTCTCGTGGGAGAACAGGTGATGCTGGGTGTCAGTTTTCATTTTCTACCTTGTTTGTAACAGGGTCTCTGATTGTTTGCTACTGTAAATGCCAGGCTAGCCAGCTCAAGGGTGTCCATTGTGAATTCTTCTGTCTGTGGGAGTGCTGGGATAACAGAATATATGCTACTGTGTCCAGTTTTAAGTAGATTCTGAACTCAGGTTCTCATACTTGTGAGGCAAGTACTTTACCTACTGAACTATTTATTTTTGTTTTTCAAGTGTTTGCCTACATATATGTACATGTACCATATATATGTCTGGTGTCCACGGAGGACAAAACAGGGAGTCAGATCCCCAGGAACTAGAGTCACAGACAGGGTTTTTATGTGTAGTGCTGGGAACCAAAACTGGGTCCTCTGCTTTTAACTACTGGACCACTCTACAGAGCCCTTACATTAGTTTTCAAAATGAGTTCCATGAACATTAAGGAGTGGCAAGGAAAAGATAGATGGCATTGTGGTCTCCCTGTGATAACTTCTATGAGTCTTTAGTTTGATTTGGCAGGTAGATTTAGCTCACAGAATTTTATGTTTAAGCCACTTTGAAACCACCAAAATAAAAGCATCACAGGACCATTCTATTCCTAAACACAGCAATGATCTATAGATGTCTTTTCCAATGATCCAACTGTTAACTGCCCTTAACGAAATACGAATCAACATCACCCACGGGGATCATTTTTAAGAAGGAAAACGAAGTAAAAGCAAAACAAAAAAACAAAAACTGGTGGCGATGAGAAGTGAAACAAATAATAGATGCCTGGAATTTATTGAAGCTGGAACATTAGCTTATTGGGACTCATATACTCCAACATATGCTTTTTGATATTTTCAACACAAATCTTTAAAAATGGATATGAATATCTTGGATGAAAGGATATAAAAACCAGAGGAAGTTCATCTCATACGATTTTAGCATGAACACATGACCAAAAATATTTTAAAGTACATACAAAATTACAACAAACGTAAGGAACAAAAGGGGAGAAACATACACAATTTTTGAAAGAAAAAAACAGGTAAACAGCAAATATTGGACCACTGACTACAAAGCCTACACAATTCTAAAATCTAGCTGAGTATGGTGGCTCACATCTTTAGTCCCAGCAATCAGGAGGCAGAGGCAGGCAGAGAGATCTTTGTGTGAACTAGACAGGGCCACAAAGTGAGATTTCCATCTCAGAAACGCTACTAAACAATTTAAAATCTAATCTCATGGTAGGGGCTACTTAGGGGAAATTTGTCATTCCACAGAACTTCTCTTCGCTTCTCCCTCTCAGCTGCTGGCCTCACACTCACTGATCTTTCTGCCTCAGCCTCCTGCGTGCTAGCTCTCAGGTAAGATCACTGGTGCCTCACCTTTTCACCACTTAGGATACCCACTGAAACACACAAGAGCTAGTGGATCCACTCACCCACCTTTTATCACATGCTCTTTTAAATGTTGTGTCTAACAGACCTTTGTACAGCCTGCCGTATCATACCTATTTTTTAGCTACATTAAACGTAGGTCTGTTATTCATTTGGAACTAATTTTTTTACATTGTTTAAAGGACAGTCTAATTTCACTATGTGTGTGGGCCTTCCAGCCCCTATTTCAGTCTATGTGGAAGTCTAATTGAGTCAACACCATGAATTCCATAAAAAGTAAAGTTAATGTGAAAGTGCTGACACACCACCTACAATCCCAGTACTCAGGAGGCAAAGCTGGGTGATCATAGTGAGGGGCCAGCTTGGGTTCCAAGCATAGGGAGACTCTGTCAAGAGACTGTAGGAGACAACAAGCAGCAGCCTGATGGTGCACACCTGTAATCCTAGTCCTTGAGATGGAGACTGGAGAACTGAAGTCAGTTAGGTTGAATGTCCCTCCACAATTAAACAATAGCAAACATAACTAAATGAACAGAAGTTATTAAAGAAAAAGACAGACCAGTTTCTTAATATGAAAATAAAAATTTGTGTTAGAAAAAAACCCAACCAATGTAAAATAATGAAATGAACTGAAAATATATTTGTAAATTGTAACATATACAAAAAACCAGCCACTTAAAAACAGAGAAGAAAAAGGCTATCAGGCTGGTTTTTAAAAAGGGGGTGAGACTATAAATAAGAACAGGCAGTTTAGAGAAGAAAAGCAAGTGGTTCATGAAGGAAACAAATATTAACCACACTGGAGACTTTCACCCTGAATCTTCATTGTGGTGTTAATTTCATGGCTGATTGAATGTCAAAGTTCCCCAAGGCCTTTTTTGGGGTGGAACTCAAGGCTGAGCTACACCTCCAAGTGAAATAGCTGTTCTCTATTGTACATCTAGTGCAGCTCAATAAAACTGTAAAGAAAACAAAAACATCACTTCTTAATGTGCACAGCAGCAAAACCTCAACATTTGATAATGCTCAGTGAGGTCTGTAAGGGGCCAGACTCTACTGCTCAGATATAGAATCCAATGAAGGTGATTCCTACACTATTTTATTGTCTGCTGCAAGACAATTATTTGTCCAATGTGGGCAGAGAAGCCAAAAAGTGGGACACCCTTGATCTACACTAATTAAAATGTTTTTACTATCAAATCAATTGTCTACACACAGAAAAATTCAGACCTGACAGAAGTATATGTGAAACACAGTGCTTGCTTATTCTTGGCCTATAAAAGGAGTACTGGGCAGAAACTGGGTGGGGCAATTCGGGAATTAACATAATATGGAAATCCTGAGACTGTTGAGAGCTAGATTCTCACCAAAAAAGAAGGGAAGTGGGAAGAAGAAATCCCGGAAAGCTAAGAACCACAAATACTGGCTTTAGATTTATCAGCATGAATTTGTGACTCTAACAGCAACATCTTGAGGTGTCCACTGCAGTAATGAATAGACTTACTTGGTCAGATTGTAGCTCTAAATACTACACCAAAATTGGTGTCTTAAAGAATGGCTGATGTCACAGTTAAGTGCAGAAGCCCTGGTAAGCACTAAAAAGAGTCTATAGGACAGATACATATGGTATAGGTGCAGTTTGATAGGAACAGTTTGCCAAAATGTTAACAGTCATGGACTAACAAATAGGTTGAATAAAGGAATTAATGAAGTCATGTGTAAGTAGAAAACTCTTACCGCAGAATATCAATTTACCAGTTTAGAAGCTACTTGGTCAATCATGATTTGCTACCATCACAAATGATACCTAATTTTTTACCACCAGATTACATTAAAACACTTATCTTTTAAAGTTATACTTTTAATTTATTTATTGTGCATGCCGTGGAGCAGGTGTGGAGGTCTGAGAACAACTTGTATGGGAGTCAGTTCTCTTCTTCCACCATTTGGATCTTGGGGATTAAACTTAGGTTGTTGGGCTCGGCAGCATATGACTTTACCTGCATGATCTTGCTGGTCTGGGTTGCATTTTTGA